GCTCCCCTCAGATTCCTTTAAGATCCTCTCATTGCTTTCCACAAGGAAAACACTTTGTGTGCGCATTGCGCCCCTTCCCGCAACAGTTGTAAAGGACAACAAACATTCTTCCTGGTAATCTCAATAACGGTGTACGCCTTCCATGCAGGTTTACCCACCTCGGCGGCGAAGGACGAACCCCCCGCAGCATTGTTGTAGCCCGCCACAACATAATCGCACAAAGGCCCTCGCCCATTAGAATCATTGAACGTGGTGATGCCTTCGGCGAACCGCCCAAAATACTCACCAAAAATGTCATGAAAGCAAAAAAAACAAAAATTATAAAATAAAATATGCCTCCAGATGAGGCCATATGGCTCCCACTCCTAAAAAGCGAAGGATGCACAATGGGGGTATCGCAGTTTGGCTCGGTGCGCCTAGCACCCAGCACACCCCCCAAAACCAACAAGTTCACACGCCACCCCCTCGACAGCCAGATTCCCGCTGCCGACCCAACAACCGGCAGTCGGTGGGCCCCGCAACCATCCGACTCCCTTCCGCATTGGAGGGTGTCATTATTACCATAAGTTGCAGTGGGGGGTTGTGGCGTGGAAGAACTCAAAATAAAAAACACTCGCGCTGCTCCCCAACGCGGCATCGCTGAAAGCTAAAAATCAAGTCATTCGCAAAACAAGCAGAGGAGCCACACAAAACCATCTGTCGTCTGCTCAGCCTCAGCGGGTGGCACACTCACCCCACCGCCTTCTCTCAGCAAAGCACCCCACCCCCGCTGCAATACACACGAGGAAGCCGCGACTCCGCCCACTACACCAACCACAATAATAATACAACTCGCCTCTCCCCCACTCCCAGCCATGCCGCCGCCCTTTCCCCACCAAGAAAGAAACGCACTGAAACAATGTCTTGAAACGACACAAACCCATACAGCACCATGTAACTCAACACACGAGTAGGGCATAGAATTCCCAAACACACTCCACGCCCCTGTCACTTATCCTGAGTGGTCTTCGCTGGCAGCAACAACCAGCTGGGCAGTCATCTCCGCGTCAAGCTGCACCTGGTACTGTTCCACCCTTCTCTCCCAAAAGTCGCTGGCAACCTGAAGTCCTGGCATTTCCTTTTCTCCCTCCGTGACATGGCAATCCCGCCTTCCCGTCATCAGCGTGCTGGGTGTAAATGATCTCCCACTTCATCTTTTCCCTCAGCGCCTCCCAGCCCTTGAAGTTGCACGTCATGTACTTCAGAAACTCAGCCACCTTACCGGCAGTGGTGTGGTGGGTGTTGTGTTTTGTCACCTGCAGCCCGATGAACGTCACTTCCCTTTCCGCACCGCTGTGCCCACCAGCAGGAATATTGTCAGCCTACCTGGGGTCTACTGTGGCAGTTACTGTTGGTTGCACCCCGACCACGTAGAACGCGTCCAGCACGGTGACAAAACACTTGTTGGGCATATACAGAACGCCAGCTTGAAGTTTGGTCTGGATTATTACTCTTCTATTATCTCCACCTGCCATGCCCCCAACCACGCAGGGTTCCCTTGGAAAGCGGCCCACCGCATGCCCCTCCGCCAACACGCGGGCCCGCGTTCCTCCCTCGTTGCGGGGAAGGTGCTGCACCTTGCGAGCAACTGCTCTGGCGACGTCACTAATCAGGAACGCCACGCAGCCCAAGCACTCAATATCATCAGCTGCAGACTGACTCCACGTTCCCAAAGCGGACAGCAGGCGGGACATCCTAAAGTTCTTCATTAGCACCCGCCTCCGCAATGTTCTTTTCAACCTCAACTGAGACGGGAAAATTCCTGCAGCTTTCCGCGTCCCCTCCATTCCCCGCATTGGGCCTCACCACCACCGACGCATCCCTCACCACGCGCTCCTCCTCCAACACACGCACCAACCTGATCAGCTTGTCCGCGGTCCCGTCCTCGCCCCACTCAGCTTTGCCAAACATTTTTTTTGCAAAGCGCCCGAAGTCTGCGTCAGACGTGTTGAACAGCGCTGAGTTAATTGCGCTACGGCGCCCTGAGTAATTGTTCTCGTCAAAAACGTAGCGAGGAAACGGTCCAAGCACACAAATACGGTCCTTCATCCTCTGCCACCTCTCCTCAAGCTCTGCTCTACCCTCACCGCTTCCCTGCGAGCCACGTAGCAAATCACGCTCCTGCCACGCAAAGAACGCCTTCATCTCTCGTGCATCGTAGCCATTGACATAAATGTTAAACGCATTACGTTTTTTGTTCTGCCCCTCATAGTTGCTTGCATAAGGCGTAGTCAACACAATTCCGCCCCACCACTTCTCAGGCAGCCCCGCCACAACTCGATGGTCCTTAGCCACATCAAAAATATAGTAACCCCCTACGTTAGCCTTTTCTAATTTTTTTTGATGGCCCACAAACCTTCACTTGTGCTTTCATATTTCACTGCTGTCCCTGCCATTTCTCCCGTTTTGTGGAAAAGGCACACTGACCCTTCTACAAAGTAGGCCACCACCGTGACCCTCGCGGCGTCGTAGTTCAGGAGCTCGTGCAGCACAAAGGACCCCATCACCAGCAACTTGCCAATAATGCCCGCCGTTCCAACCACAACGTACGATTGCCTTATGTCCGTATGACCATCAGCAGGGGACCACTTGTCGATGCTTCGCCCAATGACGTTCCACACACACGCATCACCTCCCTGCGCACAAATACGTCCCTGTAATCGGGCAAAAAAAACAAAAAAATATACGGCCACCCAATCGCAGATCTAAGCACAAAAAACTCCAGCCGCGTATCAGGGACCCCCAGTCTCTCAGCATCTAACACCTTCTCCTCACGTTCCTCAATCTCATGAGGTGTGACGTCCACCACCCTCGTCCCAAGCGGCTCCGCAGAGTGGCCCGGCCCCACGTAGTTCCACGTTGACTTCAACACCGACCGGTAGACCCTCCTTTTTCATACTCTATTTTGTCGGGTGACTAGTGTTCAGCTGCAAATCAAGCCAGCAACTACTACGAAAAATAACAACAATAAATAACGTTTGAGTGACTCAAAGGATCTCATGCTACTGATGTAAGTCACAAAACTAATGTGCCGCAGGGAGGGTGGCACAGGCGAGGTCGGAGGCCGATGGCGACGGTAAACAACCCGCAGCGTAGCGCTGAAGAGTGGAGGAAAGGGCAGAGCAGGGATAGAAGGAAAATACTCAGCTTAAAAAGAAATAAAAAATAGGCGCAAACATGACTTTACGCAGCCACGGCAAAAGAGAGAGCCAAACACACGGTACGCGGTACATACATACAAGAGGACCACCACGACGACAGGTGGATGCCGCATTTATCTTGCACTCCGCTAAAGGCAGAGCAGCCACATTGGCATTGGAAGGGAAATAATAAAACTGAAGCTTGAATAACAAGAGAAAGGGAGAAATTTAAAATGTATATGTGAGGATCATGAGAAACAACACTTCTTTTCTTGTTGGGGTACTGGGTAACGCATTTACTTATAAATTTCCAGCAAATTCTCCCTCACAGATGTGCACGAGACGTCACAGAAAACCGAAAGCAAACATGCGAAACGTAGTCCTTTTAACTTCCCTACTTGCAAGGTGTCATTGATGCAAGGAAACACAACAAGAATTGCTATCATTCTTGTTTTCTGTTGGTCTTGTTTGCTTTGCCATCCCGCAGGTTATCTTTTTTCTTTCCTTTTTTACTCGCTTTGTTGCAAAGCACCTTTTCCTCCCATCAATCATTTCCCGGGCCATGCTCCGGTAGCCAACCGCCGGGCTACTGGATCCTGCAGCACGCTACTCGGCACGGGGGTGAAGGGAAGGCCAGGAGCCCTGGGAGGCGCAAGTAAATCCAAATCCAGTGCTGGTCGCGGCAGTGGGGATTCGGGTCCTATGGGAAGACCATTTTTGCGTTTAACGTGCGGCGTGTAGTGGTCGTAGTATGAGGCATGCTTGCCGGTCCGGATATCCACGCAGGCCTGCGTCTCACTGTCGTACTCAGCCTCGTAAATCGGCTGCATCAAGCGGGCGTTGTCCAGCGATGAACACAATACATTATATCCAACAAAATTTCCAGGAGTATCCGGTGGGTCTATGACAATCTTCACAGCGGGCGTCTTACTCGTTCTATCAGTCATAAGGAATCACACCTTTGTGCCACATTGAACAGGAGCAACAAGAGCGAAAATAATAATAATAATAATAATAATAAACTCAACAACCGCCCAGACACCGTCATTAGCAGTTACAACGTTACAACCATTATGTTCACATGTTATGAAACACCCATTGCAGTGACCCGCCATGTTTGGCGGCCTCGCTGCCGTATCCTACAACACGCATAAAACATCTGTGAATTAATGAATGTGTTCACCGTGGCTAAAATAATCCGACACAAAGGTATTTCACTTTGATCCTCCCGTGTTGGGATCAGTTCATCCTGCTAACTACCGGTTACAGCAGCCCTCCCCTCCCCCTCCCCCTTCCCCTTCCCCATACGTCGCCGAAGGCAGTGATGTTTGCTCCTTTGTCAAGGCGACATGAACCACACACAGTGCACAATCTGAGTAAGGAAGACCTGGAAAAGCGACCCCAGTGCACCTTATCTTGGGTGTGAGCGGGGAACGCCTACAGCAATACGCATGCAGGGCCCCACCCTCACAGGTAGGCATCCCTTCATATATTTCTGGTGGATTAAAAACTTATTTTGCGGCGTTGACCCAAGTTACCCTCAACGCATACCGTGTTTATTTTACCTATTGAACAGAGGGCCCGGTTATGATGGAAAACCGTTACCCATAGGCGTTGGCAGTGGGGTTCTGTTGTTTCCGCACTCACAACAGCACCTATGCTCCCACCCAGCCTCACCAAACGAAGGAGCACAAAAAAAAAAATCAGCTTACGGTAACTTTTGATAGCATATTTATCTTCGCAGGGCCTCAGTACATAGGTTGAATCCGTCGGTCAATGAGGATCACCTCAACTTCATCGGAAAAGTGCACCTTTTTCTTCCTTCGCTGCTGCATCGTCAACGCCTCCGGCTTCCGCTTCCGCTTCCGATTCAGCTGCGGCGAACGACAAAACCAAAAATTCGCAGGCCGACTGTCAGAATTCGAGCAGCAAAAAACAGACTTTCTTGCCTGCCGCCTTCGCTGCTTCGCCGTGGTTTGCGCGGGCGTTATGGTGTAAAGCAGGGTGTCCCAGAAGTAGGCGATGGCCTGCGCATCCGCCGACATTTTCGGCTTTTCGCCACGAGTATCTACCAACAGGAAGGTAAAAAAGCAAAACAAAGGAAAAGGGAAAAATAGAGAGAGAGAAGCGGCATGCCACGCCGGCATTGCAAGAGAGATCAAAGTAACAGCGAAAACGAGGGCAAAACGGGAAGAAAGAAAGAAGAAAATCCAACGTCTTTATGGACAGAAATGAAACCGGGAAGCCCAAAATAACGGATCCCGCGCCAGCGCATCGTGAGGGTCAAGGTAACGGTAGTGCAACTCCTCGCCCGCCGCGATTTCCTTCGCCGCCCGTGCAATAACATAAAAGGGGCAATGACCACCACTGATTTCGTCTTCAAACACCTGGGGGAGGTGCCTGGACCGTCGCAGCAACGATAGGAGAGAATGGATTGTGTCCACATAGACAACCACATTCGGGTCCTCCTCATTGTGATTGATGAGATCGACGAACGGTACAAGCGCTGGACCGCCAAAAACGTCCTGCGAGCAAGGCACATCCACACAGCGACTGCTGCAGATGGCATGCGCACGGCTCATAGCATCAAAAGATACATTCCAACCCGCGCTTGACGCGTCTTCGCAAAGAGCAACTATAATTGACTCGTTAAGAACTTTGATGCTTTGAAGCTTGGCGTACGTGGGGCCGCCCAGTTTACGTTGCATAGAAGCGTCGTCTTCGTGTTCTAGCTCAATCCATTGCAGATAGCTGTTCAGCGGACACTCCTTAAAGAGCAAAACAAGGGCGCAAAACACGGTGGTAATGACACTTTCACTTGGGTATTCCACGCGAACACCGTCGCCCGAGACCGTGTAGGAGGAAGCGTTGGCCATCAGCGTCGATCCCCACGGCGACGCAGCCGCCACCTTTGCCGCAATGCAGTGAAAAAAGGGAACTGCGCACAACAACTCGCCCTCATCCAACCCGCCGGAGTTCGCATCACAGAAAATTCCGTAAACCTGTTTGACAGGCGCTGCGTGTCGCTTTAACGCGGGGTGCACCGCCACTCCGAGGCGTTGAAGGAGATGACGCCACATCAAACGCCAAAAAAAAAAACACAACAACAACACTGAAATCCAGAAGAAGGAACCGTAGTGACAAAAATAAGATTAGAACAACCACAAAAAAAAAAACT